AACTTGAAAATGAGCTGTTATAGTTATCGTTAGAAGAATGTATATTTTAATTTTGATACTTTTGTCTTAAATTATTATTACATCATATTTTTATTATTACTCTTTTACTTAAATCAACATTAATTTGATAAATTATATTTGAAGTTAAACATAAGTTGCGGTGCCCTGCAGGGTAACATGGCTGTACTTTATATTACGTTGTGAAGTTTTGTATTACCCATGGGATGCAACGTATAAAAATGAATTACGAATGTCTAGTAAACCTTTTTAAAACATCTGTTACATTGTGTTTATAAGTCAAAGTGACATCTAACGACAAAGGCGTGAACTAACATTGTAAGTAGCCAGCTTGAAACGCCTGCCGCTCACCTCATCTTGAATAAAGTTCTCGCCAATGGTAATAGATGGCGCGGCAATGTCATTTTTTACGGATTTCGTTAAACCTTTAAAATGTCATAAATATTCAAAGCCCAAGATACTAATATAATTATTGTTCTACACAAGACACGCCAACATTTATTAAACACTTTTATAAATCAATTTACTGTGGATTTGCCGGGGAATTTGTGGATTTGCTTTTCGGTGGTAATTTGGTAGTTTAGTAGTTCGTCCAGGGAAGTACTGCCACCTTTCTGCCTATTCTGCAGCCAAGCAGTAATGTCAGCATTACTGTGTTCCGGTTTTGAAGGGGTAAGGGTGCTGGTGAAATTATAGGCACATGGGACTTGTCAACTTATGTCTCAGGGTGACGGGCACAGGGGCAGTGCCCCTCACTTTTGCGATTTAAAGTTCTGAGTGGTTCTGCAACTGTTATGGACAGGCGTGTAGCTTACCATAAGGCACACGTCTAGTTCGTCCCATCACTTGATATTATAAATAAAGATAGCAATATTTTCGTAAAAAAATCAATATACAGGTTTACTCGAATTATGTGTCTGGCAGTAATTAATTGATGTTTTATAAGATCACTTGCTCGTCGCGGTGATGAAGGGCCCCACAGGCCCTAAATAAGTCACCCTAATAATAATAATGTTGTTTCCAAAAACAGCATTCGACATTTTACTACGCTTATTAACTTTGATTGATGGCCATCAAACATTTATGACTCTATTAGTGGAGAACACACGGTCTTCCCATAAAATGCCCCTTTGTTTACAAAAACTGTAGATTACCCTTCGGGATACTGCTCGCCAGCCGATAAAACAGAGAATTCCAAATCTATATTCTCTGAGGCATTACAGCACCTCTACCGACAGTTTACTTCAGCGATCTAGTAAAATGGTAGTACACAAAATGTTGCTTCTTGTGGTCGCTAGGCGCGCTGCTCACGTCAAGTTTCACACTTATTATTTAAATTAACTCTGTGTCGCTTGTGATAAGAGAGTCCAAAGTCCAAACTGTCAAACTTGAAATGCTTTTGCCTGTATAAGATTGTCGTATCGTACTCATATGCGTCTATGTCATAGGTTTCAACTTTCAACACCCACCATCACAAAAAATAATTGAAAACACGTATTTTTTATATTAACTTAACACAAATAATTACAAGAAAAAGAATTATGTATATGCAGGTTTTTTCAAATAGTACCCCCAGGCCCCTACCGCCCCCCAAGGACTTTACAGCGCCCATTGGGGCGGTATAGGGGTCACTTTGAGAAACTATGGTCTATGTCGTAAAGACGTAGTATAATACTGATTAACTAGCTTTACCGTGTCAAATCAATACACGAATATTAAAAACAGCATTTTGAGACATAAATGCAGTTTAAAAAGTTTTAATTTTGTCGTCTATTTTCAGGTTAATAATAATAACATAAAAGTTACATTTATATTAATTTGTACATTTGATGCAATATTTATTTTATTGAAACTTAGGGTCGTATTCCAGAACTCTACTCAATGTAAAGTCAGGACTTGAGTATGATTTAAAACACTAGAAATCATACTCAAGTCCTTGCCATTAGGGTCGTATTTCCAGTGCTTGAAATCATACTTAAATCCTCACTTGAGCATTGAGTAAAGTTCTGGAATACGAGCCTTAGATTTGCAATAAGAATGATGATCTTATATAAAACTTATGAAATGTAGTACTGTATTTGCATGTATATAATTGTACTTTTTAAAGCGAATAAATGATTTTATTTTATTTGATTATACATCATGGCTTTTTTATGTTACTACCAAAATTTACTCAAATGTTTGTTGTGAAAATACTCCATTAGTTTGTTGTTATCATTGATACAAAGATCAAACAAACATTAAAGAAAATTCTTTCGATCCAGTTGGACACGAACCAGCGACCTTGCCATACCGAGGCAGTTCAGCCGAATCGAAGTAATTATACATTAGATTTTATAGTCTGTCTTTTTTGACGATGGAGTAAAATGACAGTTCATTGCGCGAAAGTGGTGCCCACTTGCAAGCAGCTAGTGATTGCAGTCGATAAATATTTTAGCTACTATCGACTTAATGTTGGTTACGCTTATGCAATAAATAGCCGAACTAGTATAATTTCAATCATCATCGGTCCATTATTCGTCCAACTGCTGGGCACAGGTCCATCTGAATTGTCAATTTTTGTAAGTTTATACGTACATACACAATGCATTTAGAATTATGTCTATTAAAAATATAAAAAATGAGACATATTTTAACATACGTCTAAAATATACATAAATTCTATTAAATTGTTAACAGAACTTTTATTTCCGGTTTTCTTTTTTCATTACTTTCGGAAGTCGGCTTTAATTTGAAATATCCCATTTTTTCGTATACAATTAAGAACAAATATGTTTCGAGTTCTTAGGTTTTCGCGATTGTTACACATAGGAAATGAAACTATTTTTCCGGATTTAAAAAAACAAATATACGCGATTTAAATCCGGAAAAATAGTTTCATTTCCTAAACAAATATGTTTTTCATTTTAATTCAAATTCGGTTGTTCTTATTAAAATGTATATGAATAAAAATTGACTTCGATACTAGTAGGCCAACTGTCAAAAGAAGAATAAAAATGGAATAAAGCAATTAGTAATAAATAGAACGTCGTATCATTAATAATTCAGACATTTTTGCCTAAATTTTACCTTCTTTCACTACTTCTTTAACTATAAGACTATTTTAAAATTTTATAAAAAATGGCAACTCTGCAAATGTCATATTGTAATGCTATGCTCCGTCTTCAAAAAAGACAGACTATTAAAATATATCTAAACTTTGCAAAATAAGGTATTTCTATTGAACAACGAAAAAATTGGTTTTGTCTAGATAAGAGCCGAAAGATTCTTGATGTAAAGAAATTCCAAAATACTGTACTGGGACTTGCAGTGTTTCAGTTTGGTATAATAGGGCAATAGTTTGACTATTATAGGTGACCTTGAGAACTAGTTCCAAATCCATTCGGTTAATCAACTTTGACTTTATGTTTATACTTATATCTTATATGAATGGTAGGTACTTAATGTCATGATGAAATTCATTATTATATTAAAGTTTCTTAATTCACGATGTTTTATGTAGTGTATTTAACCGTCTATCTATCTATTCCCTTACCTATTCATCCAAAATGTGTGGTACAGGCAATTTTTTCGCGATTTGAAGGAGATCCCCTCAGTTGAAGTTCTTCATATTGAGGGGTAGATTTGCCCTTTAATACATCGTGAAAAAAAAAATTTTGCATATTTACAACAAAAACTTCCAGGCGTATTCTAACTATTTATTATATTAATGACATAAACAGCATTAGAAAGAAATGGGACTATTTAACGGTAAATCGGACATCTGAAGTCAGCCTGATACATTATAATAAATTTATTTTTTGTAATACCCTGTATTTAATAATCAATTAAAACTCGACAGTATGGGCACAAATTACATAGGTAATAGTATGAGTTTGGTTTGGTCTTAACCAATTTGTATTTTTAAGTTAAGAAACGTTTTTTTTTAATATATGTCGTTTTCCATTTGACGGAGATCATTGAGTCCTGCTTGGTCACAGATGCATAGTTGGTGTACACGAGGACGACGTCGACGCTCACACGCGACCCGGGAGCAAGTTTTTTAAACATCCGATTGCGCCCGCGCAGTATTAATCGCCTTAGTTAAGTTGAGCGCTTGATAGCATTGTACTGTTACCAAAAGTTACTACCTTATTCAGGGTTCAAATAGAAACAAAATTTTAGGTAAGTAGTAACAGAACACCCATCGTTTCAATTTGAAATATATATAAACAATCATAATCAAGAATGTTGGCCCATTGTTGCGATAAAGCTGTGAGAATACCACTATATAAATAACAATAGAATGCCTCAAAAAAGAACGTATTGTTTCAAAAAGAAAGGAGCAGGTAAAATAAGTAAGGAAAGTCAATAATAAACAGAGCAATTAACTTAAAGCGGATACGTAATACCTACAAGCGGGTACGCACACAGTCGAATAGGTTGCTAACTTCATTCAAGTTTCCCTTCGAGATCGGCAACTTCACACTGTTCCGTTGCACCGACACCGTATGATCGGCATTTGCATCTGGTAGTGACGTTTGATCAAACAATTTGACTGTTTTTCGAGTTTATTTTGTTAATATAATATAAAGATTGTATTCTTAAATTTATTGCCGCTGTTTTTAAAGGTGTTTTACTGTGTGTTTTAGTAAAGTGTCACAGTGATAATGTGTTAAAAATTTAAGTGTTTTGGTTATGTTGTTGTGGACTTAATTCGTGTTTGTTTTCCATTATCGAAGTTGGTAAGTCATTTGTTTTTATGTCCTATTTAATTTTAATTGCTCTTGTATTATGTTTCTCATTTCCATTGTGCAAATGGATATCAAACAAACTTTCGAAAGTACCTACGTTAACTTGTTTCAAATCATGAATTAGTTAATAAAGAACATAATTATATTTTCTTAGAGAAAAAAAGGAAAAGAAATATTTTATTTTCTTTATTATACTTACAAATAACGTACGGTAATGAGTAGGTTAATAAAACAAATTATGAATACATAACAAGATCAATTGTTACGCCATTCGGTTTTATTTTTGTGTAGCAATCTCTTCCAAGCCACAAGGGTTTTTAAAAACGTTTATTTTAGTAAAGTACGTACGTACTACGTGTATCTCACGTACCTACTTAAGGAACTTTTTACGTTTTTAGTTATATAAATAGGCAGCTATGTTAAATATCACTGCGACAATTAAAAAGCAGTTTCAGGGATATAGCTACCCTTATGCTGCTCAATTAAAACGAAAAAAAGAATACTATCAAACCAGGCGCAGAAAAAAATTAGAAAATTTATTACTTAGTGATCCAACTGCAGAGTGTCCAGTATTTACTTATCCAGTCGTAGTGATTCTAATTATTTTTCACTTTAAGCCGTATCGGTACATATCTGTCTTCTTGGAAATACCTATTGTCTATTGAAGCGTCCAGCGTAACATCAATCGCCGATTGTGATGTTTTATCCGTATACAACAATGCCTCTCGTTTCGGATCTCTGAACATTCTTTTCGGTAATTTTCTCATTACATTGTCTTCTATATTTCCAACATTTTTCGCTGTTTCTTCATTGTCTTTTCCATCTTTGATATTGTTTTTCCCTTCAAAATTGTTTTTTATTTTGACAATGTCGTCCTTGTCATCAACTGTAAGTTTCTTAGCAATTTTAGAAAAGTCAATGGCGTGATCAGGGCCGGAGACTTCTTCAGTATCACGTCTTCTTCGCCCTGAGATAACTCCAAGCTGCAATAACACTGGGTTGCTAACTAAAGCTGCTGCAGCTCCCAAAAGGGCTATTCCTGCTATTGGCCAGAGTACTGCTTTTGCTGCTAGACCCTTAAAAAGACAATTATGCTTAGTTTGTACTTGTTAATAATACATACATTATTATGGCTACTTTCGAAGTTTTTGTAGTAGGTAATCTAAACGACAAACGTATTGTCGTACTTCTCGGTGCGACGACTCAGGTCGTTTTTTCCACTCTTATTCAATTTTATTATAGAGCTTTAACCCTTTGAACAACGGAATGTCAACAGTCAGTTTTAGCACGGATCCTATTTCACACCCGCGCTTACCTAGATTTAGATCACCCTTCAGAGAGATGCTCATTAAAAAATAACTATTATCCTTGTTTTGTAAACGGTACTGACTTTCTAAATAATCTATCTATAATAAATATAAGAAATTGTAATGTAGAAAAGCTAATATCTACTATGATCGGTAGTAAAAACAAAAAAGGAAATGCCAAAAAAATCATGATTTTTAGAGCCATATTTTTACAAGAAATTTCACTTATATTCATTGAATTTTAATAAAAAAAAACATTAAACAAAGTCTATTTATTACAATTCAATAGAAATCTGGTATAGTGCTTCGCAAAATTAAGACTTAATACAAAATAAAGTTTTACTGCACCATACAACGCACGAGCAAAGTTTTACCACAAATTCAAACAACTGATCTTCTTTTTTTAAGAAACGAGTGCTTTTTGGTATTGTAATGAATAAAATATTTTCTATATTTCTTTAGGATCAAAAGCTGTTCAAACAAACGTATACTCTATCATCATGAAAAATCGGTTTACAATCAGCTGGGTGACCGAGCCGCATGTGGTTCCGCGCCAGTAAAGACTTTTTCGGTTAAAATGGCGCCGAACCGCCGCCGCCGGTGGGTCGCCACCGTTCCAGGGGAAAGTGCAAAGATTTGAGTGGTACTACAACTGCGCTCAGCATCTCAGACATAAAGTTGACAAGTCCAGTCTTTAGTTTCACCAGTATCCTTATGACGCCTACGGATTTGCTCGATTTTTGACAATCGTTACTGTTGCACCATTTGGTCATCAAACGATCAATCGTTACTACAGGTGCACCGGAATCTGATGGCACTTTAAACATGACATATTTAAATTTGTAGTGGGCAACATCAATATAAGTAGTAGGAAAAAATGTACTAGGTATCTCATATGTTTTAATTGATCAGAATTGATCTATCCTCGCTCATGTTTTAAGATCTGTATGAATTTGTGTGAGGAAAACGTAAGTAATTTCTGACACATTTTAAAATTAAACAAAAATATATCCATTACATTGTGGGTGATAGATTTATTTACGTTTGCAGTTTGAAGTAACTCGCATTTACTCCATTTATCTTTTTTGTACCAATCATTGTCTACACACTGTAGTCTTGCCGACCAGCACCACTACCAACAAAAATTACATACCACATCGATTTGGCTTCATTAAAATTTCAAAGATCAAGTTTACTTACGCTTTTAAATCGTGAATTATGACTTAGATGCACCTAATGCGTCGCTGATTTTGCGACAAACATTCTTACAATGTTTTTCTTGTAAATGAAGCGAATTCTCAGTAATTATTGCTACAAAATCGTTATTTTCAAGTGAAAAAAGTTAAGCAGACAGCCATTTGACACGAGTAATACTTTGAATTGACAAGTGACAAGCTAACATTGCCAGGTGAAAGTCGTTAGATTTTGAATGCAATGTGATTCTGGTACACCTATATCACTTATTAGCGATGGATAAACAAGGTTAAAATCGAACAAATTTATAAACACGAACGCCTAATTTATATCCCACAGTATCGGTCGACCAAAATAAGTATGTTTTCGATGGTCTGTCGCTTACACATTTACTCGAATTTGTCTGAAAATCTTTAGACTCCTTTACCCTACATTAACTGCTTTGTGGCAGTACTTCCCTGAACAAAGTCTCAAAACAAGGAGCTCTACTGCTGGTAAATGTCATGGAAATTTATTTCGAGTAAATTGTCTAACATTGAATTGGGTATGAGTGCTGTGACTATTTGAGTTTGAAGTCAATTTCCTATTTCACAAACGCATCGCAACAAAAGTGTGTCCAATGTGGGCGATATTAGAATTTCATAGTTTCCAGCATAATAATCTAGGTATATCATGAATAATCAATATTAAACACAATGCTCGTAGGTTTCAAGTGAAGGGAAGGGCGTCGACATTTCAAATGGTATTATTGCTCTGAGCTCTGAGTGGCACTGCAACTGTAATAGAGTTTGCGCACTTCGTCCGATTCGCATCAGGGGGTCTACTCTCGATCTACGTCCGACATCCGTCCGAAACAATTACTGTCATACAAGTAATATACGACAAAATTAAAAGACAAGTATCAAGTATGAATCTTCATTCTCATCACGCGTCTTTTCATTTGGTCCAGTATTGTTTATTTGGCAGTAATTGTTTCGGACGGATGTCGGACGGAGATCGAGAGTAGACCCCCAGTTCCGAATCTAAGAAATGACGGTCCGAAATGTCACCGGCATCATTTTGTATCTAAGTGCAAAAGCGATATTTGTATTTTCTGGGATTCGTATCGGACTTAGTGCACAAGCGACATCCGAAGTGGGTCCAAGTTTTCTATATTTGCATAGTCTTTATTCGGAACGAATTCGAATGGGATGCTTCTATCCAAGCGTACGACTAGTTAGGTCTCTGGACTTAGTATTATAAATAAAAAAAATCGTCTACAAGTAACCTACAAAACTTACATAATATAGCTAGCTAAGGTCATAACTTTCGTAACTTTTTTTTAACAAAGTAGTACCTAAATGCTAGTGTACTGCAGTATTGTTTTAAACTAGGTGGTCAAGCAATAACATCGTAAATCACAGTCGTGAACCAAACACTATTGAATTTCAATACTTTTGCGATCGAAACTATTGTCTTTATGTAGTTGTGAATTATGTTGCATCTTAAACATTAAACGGTAACTTGAAGATTACTTAAGTTTACACTATACTTTATGTGTGTCTCTATAGAGTGATAAGTTTTTAAACTTGTAGCTTTTAAGGGAGCCTCGTGAACAACATTCTGACTACAATACAATTTCAAAATCCCAGATAAAAAGAACTTGGAGAATTGGGACATAACCGATGTGACAGCATCGCAACTGCCAACTGCTAGTGTAGTCCGCTTGCAGCTTAGATCCAATTGGCACGACTGCATTTCAACCGCACCCACTAACAGTTGGCAGTCGTGACAAACTGCTGCATACCAAGTGGATTTTTGGTTGTGTCGTGAGTGCTGTAGTACGAATACAGATTTTATTTTGTTTTTTTTTTTATAATATCAAATGACGGGACGAACGAGTCATGCGCCTGGTGGTAAGCTACACGCCTGTCTATAACGGTTGCAATTCCACTCAGAGCTTTCAATCGCAAAGATGTTAGGGGCACTGCCACTGTGCCCGTCATCCTGAAACATAAGTTTACATGTCACATGTGCCTGTAATTTCACCAGCACCCTTACCCTTCAAAACCGGTACACACAGTAATGCTAACGTTACTGCTTGGCGGCAGAAATTGGTAAGGTGGCAGTACTTCCCTGGACGAACTCTTTCACAAGGAGCTTTATTGATACTAAAGCTCGCGTGTCTATGAAAAATTAAAAAGTTATTTGTCTTTGAAAACAAAACAAGGTGGTCTTCCTAATAAGTGTAAGTATGGGCTCTCAAGTAAGTTCTGTTCTATTAAAAAATATGACCTCAACATTTATTACATCGAATAGGTATATTAGTATAGCTACTTACAGGGTCATGAAACTTATGATGATGGAGTCCATATCCATGATGCCCGCCATGTCCATGCCCACCATGTCCATGGCCATCATGTCCGTAATGTCCACCGTGTCCATGATGTCCATGGTGCTCGTGAAGCTCATGGTGACCAAGGTCTAAGGGATAATCATATCCATATCCGTAGGCATGAGAACTGTCATCATAGTCGTGCACACCGTATGCTGAAAAAGCGACAAGGGTCACAAAACGAAGGCGTCTTATGGCCCCAACCCATACTGGCAGAACGAACGAACAAATAGTGCGCCTTCAAAGATTTAAATCGCTAAAATTTAAGGTGCATTATCACTGCGGCGGTCACCCTAACCTAAGACATTAAGTTGACAAGTCTCATATGAAAGAGTTCATCCAAAGAAGTACTGACACTTTACTTATTTTTGCCAGCCCTATTGCGTTCTGGGTTTTGAAGGGTAAGAAGGGTGCTGGTGAAAGTATAGGTACATGGGACTTGTCAACTTATGTCTCGGGGTGATGGACGCAGTGTACAAAGCCTATCAGATCTTTGCGATTTAAAGCTCTGAGTGGCACTGCAACTGTTATGGATAGGCGTGTCGCTTACCTACTTACCTACTTCTTCTAAGCACTACCTACTTGTCCCGTCACTTAGTAACATAAAAAAAAGAACAGTGGCCGAGACTCGCACCTTCAATTCTGATAGGAATTTTCATAATAATTTGTTATATCGGTAATACAAGATATCATAATTGTCAAAATTCAGCTGTTAGGTCATTTTATCACGATTTCTCAGTATGTCCGTGCTCAGAATACAGTACCTCCATGATGCACCTGCACCGATCCACGTCCGTAACTCGAACTAGATATTGTATTGTCCGGTATGTCCTGCAAAACAAAAAAATAAATAAAAAATATCCGTTGGTCAGATTCTTACCACACGAGTGACTAATTACAGTCATTGCAAGTATGTACAGGGAAAATAGTTGTTTTCAATTTTACATTGAATAAATTTTTTAAAGTCCCCAATAATATAGGTCTTGTGGTTGCCAGCAACACAAACACGTTTCTAATATAAGCTAAAGTGGTACTGCCTTTATGATTTACTCTTCTGTGTTTTTACGATATAGTCATGTGGACACTAGAAGAGAAATTATTTGATTTACGTTAAGACCAATTTGAGAAACAAACTATAGCAAATAGGATATTATGATACCGAGAGACGGGACGATCAAGTCGTAGGCCTGGGGGTAAGCGACACACCTGTCCATAACAGTTGCAGTGCCACTAAAAGCTTTAAATCACAAAGATCTAAGGGGTAATGCCACTGCGCCCGTCACCTTGAGAAGGAATTGGAACTCTATATCTTGAATTGACCAAAAAAAACCTCTAAAAAGGAATCTGACTAGGTGTTAAGTTATAAAACTGAACAGATTTTTTCCTTTGCATTCAAAGGCTCTATCTACGGGTATCGAAGTTCGTAGTTATGTATGGTGAACAGAACTAATAGTTAGTATAATTTCATGCGTACAAAAGGTCTATAAAATGAATAATGTACTTGGAGTCTGCATATTTATCTAAAACTAACAAACGAAAAATTCACCATTAAAAACCAAACTGTTTGTTAGTGCAATTGTCTGATACGACAGATTGTATTATTGAATATAAAGCTATACAAAGCTGTACATGTCATTGACTGTCTGTACTTAATACAATTACGTAATAGACCACTCATACATTAGTCCGAATTAATATCACCAATGATGTAAAGCGATTAAAAGGCGCGACATAATATTATGGCGATAAGATTTTTTTCAAAGGAAGAAATAATAAATCAATTAGAGCGAATCCTAAGGGCATGGTCCGGTGCGTCTGAGGCGATACGATCGTCTGCTACCGAAGTACCGAGTACCGCCCTTTCACACGATCCTTAATGCATCTTCGGCTTTTCGATTGCTTTCGAGTACCTTGATTCAATTTATTTGTAACTCAGTGAGAAAAAACGGAGCGCGTTGTGTTGAAAGATGTAGAGCGCACGATTTCGTTCTATTAGTAATTTGGAAACAAAAATAGCGTTATATTAGTTTTTTTTTTCAAAGAAACCAATGTTTCAGACTCTTTACAGTCCTGATCATGGGATCAAGTATCAGTAAAGCTCCTTGTGAAAGAGTTCGTTCAGGGAAGTACTGCCACCTCACCTATTTTTGCCGCCAAGCAATAATGTGAGCATTACTGCGTCTCGGTTTCGAAGAAGGGTGCTGGTGAAATTAAAGGCATACACATGTACATACATATATAAGGTCACACCCTAGTCCCACAGGAGGGGTAGGCAGACACCACGATACGCCACTTTACCCTGTCCTGAAACAACGCTCGAGGCTCACTTTTCATACTTCTTTTATTCTTGTTACTTCGGATCCCAGCCTTTTTGAGGACATCACTGATTTGGTCAATGTAAGTCTTTCTGAGACGTCCTTTTAAAACCCTTCCACCCACATTCACATCATAAATCTGTTTGATAATTCTTTTTACATGCATCCGTTCGACATGGCCGAGCCACCAATTACAGGCACATTGGACTTGTCAACTTATGTCTGAGGGTGACGGGCATAGTGGCAGTATCCCTCAGGTATTTGTGATTTAAAGCTGTGAGCTGCATTGCAACTATTATGGACATGCGTTTTGCTTACCACCATGAGCACGATTCGAGTGCACCCTTTCAAGCAAAAATAGAATTTTCAAAAACGGCCCACAATTGACGGAGAAATCTGAAAATAGACATAAAACATACATATAGCCGAACGTATAACCCCTCCTTTTTTTGAAGTCGGTTAAAAATACGTATAAGTTTTAACATTTCTTTTTGAAGGTGCGAAAACACAACTTACAAAAAGTTGATATTCTCAAAACTTACTCCGATTGACATATCGCATTTCGTTTTTTAACCGACTTCAAAAAAGGAGGGGCTCTCAAATCGACTGTATGTTCTTTTCATTTTCTTTTTTTTGTATGTATGTTACGCGATAGCTCTGGTATTTGTGAACCGATTTTCATGATTCTTTTTTTGTTGGAAAGGGGGTACTTCTATAGTTGTCCCATTTCATTTTGAAGAAAATCATCCACCTCGAAGGATGGCTGTTCACGCATGAAGATTCATTTTTATAAATAGCGCCTAACTTTAATTTAGGAGCAAATACTTTATTGGTTGATTTTGCTATTTCTCCAAATCAAGGCGTTTTTCTCTCAATAGACTTTGAGTAGTGTCGTAGTGAGAACCTACTTTTATTATCTCCAGTGTCAAGTCCTGTATAGTGGCGAACTAGGGGATATTTCAATAAAACTTAGCAAATAGACGTAATTCCACGTACTTTTGAGGTCGGCTTTTTTAGTACTCTGTACTGAGATTATTATTATACACATTTGCTTTGTCGGCAATGCTTTCAAATCATTGGGTAATTTAGTGAATATTTAAATACCCATGCTATAGGAATTTCTTTGCAATAGTGAAATAGAGAAAATCTAATAACATGGTAAGTATTGGTAGATACTGTCTATTATTATTAGTAAAACAATTGATAGCTTATTCTCAATTTTAGATAGTACGACGATACAAAGTTTCGATAATTATGTACGGTGAAAGCTATTTATCATTCTGTTTCCGCCAAATATCAGTATTTCACTAACAAGTGGGCCTTGGATGCCAAATAAATTATTTATTTATTATTATTATTATTATTATTATTCATCTATTTTTAACCGACTTTAAAAAAGAGTAGATTGTCAATTTGTCCGTGTATGTATGTTACGCGATTACTTTTTGTGAACTGATTTATTGGGGTTATGTTGAGTGTGTGCGTTATTATAAAAAAAAAACCACCAAGCACCACAAAATTCCACCTTTAAGGATGGCAAACTAGGGGATGAATTTGATTACGCGCACTTTCCGGTAACCGATTTCAATAAAATTTGACAAATAGATGTAATTCCACGAACTTTTGAAATCACTTTTTTTTATAAAATAAAAATATTTATGTTGCAGTGTAGCGAAATCTGGTCTAAATATTGAGGTGCCTTAACTCCTTAGCAGTGCCCTTTGGTTAGTAAATACAACGTATGTTGTTTATTTTACGGATTACCTCGTGTGTAACTATATGTACAGTGCGCGCATTTTTAATAGGTTACATGGATAACAAGTACGAATGTCTCTATAGTTTAATAATTAACTTTAATATTCAAGCGTTGATAACCATTCAAAGTTTCCACACACATTGACTACATGATAAGGTGAATAAAACTATCTAAAAATAGATTTTTTTAAAGTATTTGCGTGTTGGGGACGGTCTCAGTTTTCGCCCAGCAGCAGAAGTGGTTCGCTCAGCACAGATTTTGAACCTGCCCCCAACATTTGCAATCACAATTTGATTTCGAGTCTATTTCGCAAAATTTAGTGTACCACATGATATAATACAATTGAATGCTATCAAAAATAAATTTAAAAAAATTTAAGAAAGAACCATCTTATGCCCAATAATGAATAATTTTATAAATAAAAAATGTATATTCAATCAGTTTTATATACAAGTATCTGTTCTATATGTTTACTTATCTATCTATAATAAATAACGCACACACTCAACATAGCCCCGGACTAGGGAAACCCTGTGTCGCGGGTGCCATGGACACACACATAGACAACCACAAATTACACCCAGACTCACGAGAGAAATAATTGTACGCCACACAAATATTTCTCCCGGGCCGGGAGAAATATTTGTATGGCTATACTTCTATAGTATTGTATGCACTGTACACGTAACTTTTTTTATGATACTATGTGATCGGACGAACCAGTCGTGCGCCTGGTGGTAAGCGTCACAAACTACCCGCTTTTTATAACGCTGGGAAATGCGCTACTCATACCACTAGTAATCTAACCAAATCCAATTCGTGTATAATTTGATTCATTCATCTATTTAGCTAATGCCACAAAATTAGGCATACAAATAATATATGTATTGCATTATGTTTAGAGACGTCTTCAGTATCAAACAATTTCCAAAGAATGCGTGAATCAGAGATACGTATTACTCATTATACAAAGAACCGATCTGATATCTGACTAACTGTAGTGTAGAGGTCGAGGCCGTCACGGGAAAAGACTCCCAGTTATGTGAAGATAACTTAACCAGGCTACAATGGCAAATTACAACGTATTAAATGGTGTTTAAGTTGTGAATGCTGAGAATTTTTAATTAATTTCAATTTATGAGAATTCTAAGCTGTAAAATTTATGTGTTAGTAATTGTTAACAAGAAATAAAATGTATAAACCCTATCATATATCATATTCAGATTGTATAGATAACAGTGGAAACAGGTAAATAAGGTTCACTGCACGCTGCAGTGGGAAATGTAACAAGTTGAGGAATATTTTTTTTTGTAAGTCGATGGGAATCATGTGGACTTTTTTTTTTATAATAACAAGTGACGGGACGAACAAGTCCTGCGCCTGGTAGTAAACCACATGCCTGCCCATAACAGTTGCAGTGCTACTCAGAGCTTTATATCTTAAAGATCTAGGGGCACCGCCACTGCGCCCGTCACTCTGAGACATACAAGTTGACAAGTCTCTTGTGCCTGGAATTTCACCAGCACCCTTAGGGAGACACCACACGGGCGTTGCGTCGGCGTCGACTACACATAAATTAGAATGTCGACTCGCGCTGTTTCAACGCACCGTGTTGAAGATGAAATTTCGATCGAACCATGTAAGTATATAATTAATTGACGTCTATATTGTAAGTTACGCCTATTCCTGTTAAGTGGACAATTTTACCCGTTATTATTTACTTACTGCCTCTGTGGCCGAACGGTTACCATGCCAGACTGCCACGCAGAGGTCCCAGGTTCGATTCCCGGGCCGGGAGAAATATTTGAGTGGCCTACATTTATTTCTCTCGTGAGTTTGGGTGTAATTTGTGGTTGTCTATGTGTGTGTCCATGGCACCCGCGACACAGGGTTTCCCTAGTGCGGGGCTATGTTGAGTGTGAGCGTTATTATTATTATTATTATTATTATTATTATTATTTGTGTAAATTATTAATTATAAATTATGATCTCAACGAATAGTTCCAAATAAAATTATATTAATTTTGCTACCTGTAAAATTACTTAATTTTTTTTATGCTAGCAACCTCGGAAGACACTAGTCTTAATAAATACTAATACTAATTATATATATATATAAAATTAGTATTATATATATACTAATTTATGTAATATATTTATAATAATAAATACTAATTTATGTGGTCTCTGCTAGCAACTGTACTATCACAGCTGAAAAATGATTGATTTTATTAACTTGTAGTTGTACTACACCAAAATGTACAATACATATTATGTGAAGTGATTTAAACCCAGACAATATTATTTTTATGGTTCTTATAGTGTAACGTTTTTGTCATTATGGTTTTTATTAGTTTTTAACCGACTTTACAAAGGAGAAGGTTCTCAATTCGACTGTATGTTTTTTTTGTATGTGTGTTTGCGAAAATTTATGAATTTTTTTGATAATGCTTTTTTTGTTGGAAAGAAGTTACGCAGATATGGTCCCATTTAAATTTGAAGAAAATATTCCACTTCTAAGGGTGGCAAACTAGGGAATGACTCCGGTTTCGCGCACTTTCTAGTAACTGATTTCGATAAAACTTGGCAAATAGATGTAATTCCACGAACTTTTGAGGTTGGTCATCTGGAATCTTATGAACCGTATAAATTGCCCTTTAAATGAATTGGTGAATTTATGAAGACGAATGTTAATAATAGCCAGTTTATTTTTATTCCTCCTGTTAATGTTATATCTGTCATTATTTTATAAAAAGGAATATTATTATTCTTAACATAAATTACATTTTCATAAATGAGTAGTAAAAATGTATCGTTCAGATGTTCGCTATCAGAATAGCCCTGAATAATTTCCGTTCATACCAGTTTATCAAGAATGTGGCACATTGATATTTCCCACAATGTAATTTCAATGTGATCTCAGTCCTCCGTTATTGCTGTTTGCAAGCCCAGTGTTCCTTTACCAACTTATTGCTACAGGAGAATAAATCGAAATTAAACAAATATCATACTAAATTGTACGAATCTAGAGTTGACACCAATGTTATATTGGTATTTACTGAGCCATTGTATACCGTACTTGTAATACCCGTTTATTACAGGATTGTTAGTTCTGTTGTGTAGTTGGTAATTATCACACATTTGACTTTGAAATGTAGCTTAGTAGCTTAGGAGTTAGGATACCTTTGAATATAGCACTCATAATATTAACAAGTATCTTTAGTAATAGTGTCGGGAGACTTAAGTAAAGCAATACTTCATTTTTTACAAAATTTCTTGTATCGTGTTATTCATAGTGTTTAACTGCCTCTGTGGCCGAACGGTTACCATGCTTGTCTGTTATGCAGAGGTCCCTGGTTCGCTTCCCGGGCCGAGGTAAATATTTGTAAGGCCTACATTTATTTCTCTCGTCAGCTTGGATCTAATTTGTGGTTGTCTATGTGTATGTCCATGGCATCCACGACACAGGGTTTCCCTAGTGTGGGGCTATAATAAAACAAGAACTGAAGGTAGACAAAAAGGCACTAGTATCTCATGCATTTGCTCTCATGAATTTGGATGTAATTTGTGGTTGTCTATGCGTGTGTCCATGGCACCCGCGATACAGGTTTTCCCTAGTGCTATGTTGAGTATGTAAGTTATTATAATAATAATAATAAAAAGAAGTAATTCCACGAGCTTTCGAGGACGGTTTTTAGTACCTACCTTGTTCTGAGATTATTTGTGCAATCAATACATCTGGAATTCTTGTTCATAGGAATTGTGTGTGAGGTATTTAAAAGTAACCAAATGTAAGAAATTATCACAGCGATGTTATAGCTCTTTAGCTAAACAAGACCTCTGACCTGTACTGTATACTATATTTAGTAATCCTACCTTAAAACGAATAGGATTCATAATTGGAGCAAAACCGGCGTATCTTCCCGATTCCTCCTTTTGCAAGGTCCTTACGTTAGTCACGTTCTGAAAATAACTTGAAGTTTCAAAAGTGCACACCAAAAAACATACCTAACAAAGTACCCGATTACTTACGTCAATATCCTCTTTTACTGAATATTCCCTGATATTACTATTAAAATTATTAGACACAGGATTGCAAACTACCTTCTTCCCTAACATAGTCACTAACAAAAGATGACACAGTACTGACCACATTTCCACAAAAGGTATCACATACCACTAAAAGACAACAGGCGCAAAAGTCACATTGAAGATTGAAGAGATTGGAATGGAAACTGTTTACTTTATAAAAAAAGACCGGCCAAGAGTGTGTTGCGCACATATTCTCCGAGGGTTGCACAGCGATGGTTTCGTTGCCTATATCCAGCGCATTTTTATACGTAATTGTTAACGTACTCGACCAGAATTTTCTTCAAACCACTGTAGGGCTAGCACGGTAATACGCGACAGCGCGAAGCGACGTAAAGCGCGACATCTCTATGCGAGAATAGCAGTATGTCGCGCTTTGCCGCTCTCGCGCTAGTCGCGCCCTGTCGTGCCAACCCTACGAGACACCATTGAGATTATTTTGCAATTATGATAATATTTGTTATTCTACTAGAATCTAGTTGCAATGGCCGTTGGGTCTCAATAGAGTTTCAGTGGAATAGCAGTGATGGCATTCATTCATTCAATCACTGGCGATTGGTGTGGCCTTAATTAAACTACCATGAACATCATTGGGTAAGTATGCATACTTTTATCTCGTTTAATTTAGTCTTCAAATCAAATGTGTTTTTTTTTCACTCACTGCCTCGGACTAGGGAAAGCATGTATCGCGGGTGCTATGTCCACATACATAGACAACCACTCAAACTCACGAGAGAAATAAAGAGTCCATACAAATATTTCTCCCGGCCTGGGAATCGAACCCGGGACCTCTGCCTGGTAGTCCAGTATGATAACCGTTCGGCCACGGAGACAGTTAAAGTTATTATTATTTGAATTTTAATTGTTTTGTACGTAAACATACAATTATTTAAATTGTGGTGTTCCAATTTATGACGGGCCTTGGCAGAATGACAGCCATGGTCATGCAAATGGCATAGTCTCTCAGATACTGAGTCATGGACCCCTTTAACATGCTTTATTTATTTTAACTTGAGTTTGTTTTTATTTATTTTATATTTTTCTTCTTTGTTTAATGATTGAAATGTACGTGTTTTGCATGTCGAATAATTCCAAGTTTTTAAAGTAAATTATTAGACTAATATCGATGTGCCATCGACTCGCCATTGAAAAGCAAAATATCAAAACAATTGCAAAGGCAGTTGAATAGCAGCTCGATGGCTAGAGCCACTGACAAGTCATAACTTAACTCTTAGCAGATGCATACGTACAAAATCCTGCCATTGTCACACACAACTGAGATGATTTAAAATTAGCAGACATGGTGCCCAGACGTTGTAATGAAGTATTATATATATTTTATACATAAAATCACGCTAGTCTGCTACCAGGGTAAGCAGAAACTAAGAACCCATAATACGTTTTGGACATACCTTTTGCGCTTCCTCCATGCACTTGCATAATTTTTTTCAGACCCGTTTTTATTATATTTAACCTAATTTTTTTGAGGAGGTCTTGATTTGGCCTTTTTTATAATACCAAGTGATAGGATGGATAAGTCGTGCGCCTCAAAATCGATCAACGATCGTAGAGAGACATAAGTTGACAAGTCCCAATTGCCTGTAATTTCTCCAGCACTCTTATCCTGCCAAACCGCAATGTAGTAATGCTAACATCTGCTTGGCGGCAGAAATAGCTAAGGTGGCAGTACTGTGATGGTGACAAACTCTTTCACAAGGAGGTCTACTGCTACTGGATGGAATATATCCGCCGACGTCGACCTTTTGCCGTGTTCCCATCCATTTTTGCTCTATGAATTTGTGCCGTTACTTAGGTAATATCCACCCTTTTCACATGACCGATTTATTAAAGCCTTCCCTTTTCTATTATGTCACCACTACATCATTTTTTAACACTACCATGCTCTTTTATAACAATGTTCCTTCTTTTGAGAATGAATACCAGTGCTACACTACATGTACAGAGCAACGCAGTCATTTTACCATACCCTCATTCTTCTTCTGCTATCAGGGTTGCCACCGGTACATCCCGATGAATGGCCAGTCACACCTTTTTTGATACGTTTTGGCTATCTATGAAGGCGCACACCATTCGCTTGTAAGATCAAGACTTTTCTTTATGATTTATAATAAGGATTAGAATTACACATATAGATGAAAGTTTAGAAAGGCACTGGTAGGTATAAGAAATATAAATATAAGAAATATTATATAAGAAAGCGAATCAGAGTTACAAGATCTGATTATTTTCATATTTTGACAAATGTTTATGTTACAACATGAATAATCTTTACTGTGAGTTCTAAAATACCTACTTAGTCTTTATTCAATAAAAATAGACTTTAATAATATCTGTACAGAGTACTAAAAAACCGACTTCAAAAGTCATTCATCCCCTAATTTGCCACCCTTGGAGGAGGAATATTTTCTTTAAATGAGATACCCTCTTTCGAACAAAAAATAATCATCAAAATCGGTTAACAATTCACGGAGTTATCGCATAACACAAATGCAAAAAATATATACAGTAGTTTTGAGAACCAACGCCTTTTTTTGAAGTCAGTTAACAATTATTATAAATTTACAACCCAAGGATCAGCTCTAGACTTCGTCAATAGGTACTAAAATAAAAAAAGGGACTTACAATGGATTGTATTTTTAGTTGATTCAAAACACCTAGGTACTTGTACTATTTCAAATTTGACTTTTAACCATGGAACCCTAAAAATAGATATAGAAAAGAAGGGATGGATGACAATTTGATAAAAGACAAAACAATGGGGTTGTCCCAGATCTGGTCACAGCCTGTTGGTTATTGCGAAGTCGTTTCACCGGCTTTGTTCAGTAATGAATTATAATGAGTGTAATGTTTGCGTTGATTGTTACATGGTGGATGCACATAGCTGCGGATGTTTTACAAATTGCTCAAAGGTGGTTACTTTTATTTCATTATTTATAAGTTGTTATTAGTAGGGCTAGCTCACGCTGAGGATGTTTACAGATTTTTTGTAATATTTATAAAAACTTTATAATAAATAAACAAATAATGACGGCCGTCGAAACTGCCTCAGTGGCCAAACGGTTACCATGCCCTGACACGCAGAGGTCCGGGTTCGATTCCCGGGCCGGGATAAATATTTGTATGACCTACATTTATTTTTCTCAAGAGTTTGGGTGTAATTTGTGGTTGTCTATATGTGTGGCCATGGATTCTGCGACACAAGGTTTCCAGGGAGTGCGTGGCTATAAGTCTGTATAACAAAAAATAAGAAAATGTAAGCCTAAAGAAGTATTAAAAAGAAAGTTGTCTTTAAATTTTTATTAAATTGATATTCAATTTTTTGTTACGTGAAATTACTCCAGTAGTTTGTTACAATTATTAATATAAAGATCAAAAAATTGCTTCGTTCCCGTCAGATTCGAACCGACGGCGACGTCTTCTAGCAAACCATGACAGACGCTATGCCAGTTAAGCCACGAAACGAACTTGCGGACTTCATGAATTTCCCTACATGCTTGTTGTCGTATCTTTGTATTTGGTATTTCAACGACTTTTTAGCCGCAGCGCCATCTATTATATTTTTTACGATACAAGCGATGGGATGAATAATTTGTGCCCCTGGTAGTAAGCGATACACCATAGTTAGCGATCCATGACAGTTGCAGTACCACTCAGGTTTTAAATTGCAAGGATCTAAGGGGCACTGCCACTGCGCCCGTCGGTTACCCTGACACATAAGTTGGCAAGTCCCATGTGCCCGTAATTTCACCAGCACCCTTCAAAACTGAAACACTGTAATGCTCACATTACAGCTTGACGGTAGAAATAGGTAAAAAGGCAGTGCTTCACAGAACGAACTCTTTCACAAGGAGATCTACTGCTACTGAAGAGCCAAACGGGTCACTACCAGGGATTCTTGTCATTCAAGTACGCAGAAGCTGTAAATAGGGTTATTATAGTAAAATGTTTTCATTTCACTGTAGTTTTTTATAGGTTTAGACTATCGAACGGAATCTTATGAGACCGTTTAAGTTGCCTCTTAAATGAATTGGTGAATTTGTGAAGACGACAGTCAAGAACAGCCAGTTTATTATAGAAAATGACACTATTCCGGATTTAAATCGCGTATATTTGTTAAACAAACCAACGTTTCGGGCCCTTTACAGATCCCATGGTCACGGTTGACTGAGGTGGTACAGTCATCAACCAGTTATTTCTAATATTAATGCAAACCACCCTATGTTTTCACTATAATTACAAAAGTTATTAATTAAATACCTTATTTTTAACTATGTTTTATAAATTATTTTATTATAATAACCCATATGAATTTTAATTAAGTTAAATTTATTATTAATTAATAATGGAAATTAGAATAAATTAAAACATATTAAATAGTACTACAAATATTTAAATTTAAATCCGGGAAAATAGTTTCATTTCCCATGTGTAACAATCGCGAAAACCTAAGAACTCGATATAGCCTGTTTATTTTTAGTCCACTTCAAAAAAGGAGGAGGTTTTCAATCCAACTGTGTGTTTTTTTTTATAAATACTAGTACCATTTAAATTTGAAGAAAATATTCCACCTCTAAAGGTGGCAAACTAGGGGATGAATCTGGTTGCCCGCTCTTTCCGGTAACCGATTTCAATAAAACTTGGCAAATAGATGTAATTCCACGAAATTTTGAAGTCGTTTTTTTATAAAAAATTTGTAATTTCTTTATGTTACAGTTGGAATGACTATTGTGACTTTAAAAAATCTGCTATACACATCTCGCAATAACAATGTGTACAATTGTAATGCCTATTATGCAACCGAGTACGTTGTATTGGAATTATCTTTGCTTAGATAACAAATGAGTGTGGCGTTAGTTACGCATGTACTATGTGTAAGTTTGTGATATAACTTGTGTGTTATGGTTATTGTATGAATGTAATGTTAAGTGAAGTTCTTAGGCTTTTACGATTGCTATACATTGGAAATGAATCTATTTTTGTCGAATTTAAATAGCGTATTTTTATTGTTTGAAATAAACAAACGCTTTCGGCTCTTTTCAGAGTAAAACAATTATTATTTATTATAAAGGTAAAAGAGATGT